CAACTCCGTGACGAGGAGAAGAAGATCCAGGACTCTATGCAACCCTGACGCCTAGAGCCGAAGCCCAAAGCAGAGGTGGCCGTGGCAGTCTGAGTTGAGCTCGCATTTTACAACTGAACCGGCTGCACTGCGGGCTTCGCTCTGTCCCGACGGGAGGCGACAAAGGCCCAAATCCCTTATGGAAGCTTGCCATCGTAATCCTTCGCGTAACATTGGCATGTCAATGTTTTTCTGAGAATCCAGACACTTGCCCACTGGGAGCCGACCGGGTCTCCGAGACCTCCTTGCTGGGTTGAAACTTGAGGCCAGAAAGTTGGAACATCAGTATCCTCATGCCCTTAAGGTAAAGCATAGGAGATCCCGGCATTAATCGTCCTAAATGCCTGTTCCAACTTTCTGAGGTGCGCTATAGAGTTTCACGTGTAGATCTTCAGAGCCACGGCAGGACCAGATGACGGAGTTGTCTGAAGCTCGCAAAGCCCAGCTGGGGACCATCGAGGACAGGGAGTTTGTCAAAAGGCCTTCGCGTTGAAGATTCAATTCGGATTTTGGCGGTTGTTCTGGGCTGAGCCTCATGGCAGAATTTCGAAGTGCAGTATGTGCAGTCGTGCGCCAGGAAATCCAGAACGAGCGCAACCCCATTCTTTCTGCTGCTCCATGCTGTTCTGCCCAGGCTTATTTCCTGCCGCGGTCAGAGGCGGAAGTGAAACGCAGTGTTGATAAATGGATGAAGCGACTGCACTCACGCGGGCACACCTTCTTCGAGAAGAAGGTGCGGTCCATCCTGGAGACCGTTGCCAAGAATACAGACAAGACAGAGGACCCTGTACTCCAGCAAGCGTGTTGCCTTTGGCATGGCGATAGCAAGGCGGCCAAAGACACCAAGCACGCCGCCATTCAGCTGACCCGGCCAGGAGATGAAAAAGGACAAGTAACATATGCATCCAGGGTCATGGTCTTCCTCTTTGCCACTGATGAGCAGCTGGCAAGGTGGATGCGACTGCCGAAACAGCCGCTTAAGATGCGCTGCGGTAACCAGCGCTGTGTGTCCCTTGCCTGTATTGCAGAGGAGTGCGATCTGACATGATGGTTGCACTCTGATGTCACTGTTGTCTTTTGCCGCAGCGCCACCTGGGCCCCTGACAAGCAGATCGGAACGCGGCAAAGAGTGTAGTTGCAAGCGGGGTCACTGGCGCGCTTCATGTCAAATGTGGAGGCACCACCGCATTCGCTGCCGGTTTCGGCTTTGATTTAGTGGCCGTTCTTACGGTGGTCGCTTGCGGAGCCACGCCCATCGCGAGTGCCGGCCTCAGGCTTCTCGACACGAAAAGCGAGTGTGTCATAGTAGCAGTGTGCGTGACCTGCCGAGCATCGTGGCGTTGAAGCGCCGATAGCATTTAGGACAAGTGCCGGAGGCAGTGACGTGCAACTACGGCCCAAACACGTACTGGCCGACACAGCTGCGCATGATATGGCACTGTCAGACGATGTCACTGCCGAACTCTGCCGAACTTTGGCACGCTTGCAGCCGCCCAGGCCATGGCAGGAAATCAAGACTGGGCGTGGCCTGGTGGAAAGGTTAGAGCGTGTAGATTCTGTTCACTATGACTATGAGTGGTCGACATCTTCATGTTGAGCTATCCGGCTTTTGTTATGGGTAACGGAATTTCGTGTGTTAGCCGTTGGCTTGTTTTGGCTTCTGCGCATCCGAGTTCGATGCAGGTTGTTCATGTCGTGGGCCTGTAGTGCACAGCTAGTGATTTCGGGGGGTTCATCGTTCGTTAA